CTCTTTTATTTTATTTTATTTTTAGTCAACAGAATGTACCAGACTCTGGAAATCACCTGCTTGCTGTTGAATGAAAGATCAGTGGATTTCTTTGGGTTCTTTCAATATCTGTGAGTCCCCTTTGTAGCTGCCCTGTTTCAGTGGATTTCTTTGGGTTCTTTCAATATCTGTAAGTCCCCTTTGTAGCTGCCCTGTTGAGAGAGTTAGAGCCTGTCAGGATTTTAAACCCCTGAGCGAAGGCAGATCGGGACGGCACCTGCTTGCCCCCGGCCAGTCAGACAGCACTGAGCTCCTGTCCGTTTGAAAAGCCACCGTGGGGGGGGATGGGCAGCACACCAGTGCCTAAACACGCAGAACTGCAGGATAATTGCTGAGGAAAAAGAAAGGGAGCTGTCCAGAAACATCTGTATTCTGAAGAGCTATAAACGTCCACATTGCAGCAGTGTAAAACCCTGCAAATCCATAATAAGACACGGGTGGGGAACTCACTGTGCAGATCGGCTCTGGGAGTGTTTCTAAGGCCGTGGAGCAGCAGTAAAATCCCCGTGCACTGGAGATGCAAACTGCTCGCTGAGAGAAAACTGCAGAGTCATGGCTGCTAGGAGCCGAGCCTGCCCTTTAAAACATCGCCAGCGGAATAAAGGCCATGCTGCAGACCCTTCGGCCAGCCTGGGGAGCTGGGTCTTTCAACCGCCGAAAAAGCACCTGCGTTGAATTTTTGGACCTCAGAAGAGCCCGCGGCTCTCGGTCAGCAGCTGTCACACCGCTCTGGTTCTGTCTGGGGAGCGCTGTGGCAGGGCAGGGAGTTTACAAACGCCCCGAAACCTGGACACACGGCGCAGAGGGAGAGGGGCGAGCGTGCGGCCAGGAGACGGAGGGAGGAGTGGGATACAGAATGAGGAGCGGAGGGTGGGGGGACAGGAAGAGGGGGGAAAGGAGGGAGAGGTCTTGGGAGACGACACATTGATCCGCGAGGCAGCTTGGACACTTGCCCAGGCCTCTGGGGGGGAGGGG